AGAATCAACCGGGTTGGAAAAGATCATCAAGACTTTTTAACATCATCCGGTCCAACCGTTCCCAGTAGTGCCGAGGCCACCACTAACCCGTGTCACCGGGGGCCTCGTCCGCATGCTCCGTGAACACCTCCAGGACGGTGATTCCGCCACTGTCCTGGGCAGCCTGCTCCAGTGTCGGCGTGTCTGCGGGAAGCTGTATGTCGCCAAGTCCTTCCTAATGCTATATAGGTAGTTTCTTAGGGGACAGGGAATGAACATAGTGAGGGACATCAGATCACTGTGTTCGCTCAGAAAAACAATTTCGATCACACACATCCCATTCCCCTCCCCCAAAAAAGAAAAGCAGGGGAAGCTATTGAAATATTGCTGTGAGCACAGGGGTTGTGACAAGGAGCGGGCGTCTGGGGACAGACCCAGCGAGCCTGGTTATGGGTTTCTTTACCTTTGGTCTCACACATCAGCATTGTGTAAAGCTGCACCCAGGACCGAGTGCAGAGAGCACGTGGGCTGCTTTCTTGTTGGGATGGGGGGTTTTGGTAGTCCTAAGTTTGAATTTCAAAAGCCCTTTTGTGGTTCAATTTTTACAAAGGAATTGTGTCCATTTTTTTGGCTATAATTTAAAGATTCCTTATTATCTACTTCAAGATTTAGTCATTAGTAAAAATACTTCTGTAATTTTCCTGCAGAAGGTTTAATTAGTGTGAGTGGACTACCAGTTCCTTTCCCATCTATGAGCTAGAGCTTGCACATTTGGTAGAACAGGTTTAGTAAACCACAGCCTCTTCTTCCCTCCTAGCTTTTCTTCCTTAACTCTTTTTGTAAAAGGCATGAGGCTTATTAGCTCCACATTATGAACAGAGGAACTGTGAACCAACACAACAAAAGGAACGGCAGAGCAAGAGCTGAGCCTGCTGCTGTGCAGTTGACCTTCCTGGCAATTCACCAAGTGGTCCAAACTCACCAGTAACTGCGGCTGGGGCAGCAGGGCCCAAGTGAGGGTATTTATTACCCAGCAGATGAATTCACATGCCACAAGCCCCAGGTTTTTGCTGGGTCATAGATCTGCAGCATGAGGAAGGTAATGAACTCCTTTGTTGTCTACTCCAACTGTACCAACCCCTATTTGTTTAAATATCTGGGCTCATTACATTGATGACAACTTACAGTGGGCAGTCCTGCCTTACTTTGGACCACCTGCCACCAGAAGGCAGTCTTTAAATAGTTTTTCTTTCTACCTGAAATGGAAAGGTGAAGCAGATATAGTCTGTATTGTCCATTGAATGCAACCTTTTTTGGTAGCATCCTTAAGGATGACACAGCTAGCCCAGATTACTTGAGACTAACATCAGCTCATCTGGTAGCCATCCATAGATCTCATTCGAATTATCTGGTGGCCTGAAGCCAGGCTAATCTCAAACAGAATAAGCTTTCTTCTCAACAGTCTTTCCCACTGCTGTGAAAAGCCAGATTCTCCCAGGCAAGTCATATTAACAATAAAGCATCCCAGAATCCTTCCTGCATGTGTGTATTTGCTGCTAGTGGGTACTGTGGTGGCATTAAGGAAGAAATAAAACCAACGAAGAACAAGAGAAACAAAAAACCCCCAATAACAAAGGAAACCCCAACTGGCTTTTTGTGGTCTTGGCTTACTCCCATAGTCAGGGCTTTAGTATCTAGGGCTCTCTCTGAAGGCAATGGAAGCAGTGGGCAGCTGATAACAGACCCTGCAGGCCAGGCTGGTAATAGCTGTGCGCAGTGCCAGGCTGCTCCTAATCACCCCAATGCCAAAAGTCCCCCGAAGCCAACCCTGCCGCGGCGTCCCCGCTCCCTGGTGACGCTCACACAGCTAATCTGCACCAGCACATGTCCCGTGGCCGTGCCTGGGGACGGCAGTGCGCAGTTAACAGGCTTGGGGTTTCCCAGAGCTGAGGACAGGCCCAACCCCAAACCTACTGAGAAACAGGCATGTCATGTACCAGGTTTGGTGTAAAGAGAGACCGGGGTCCACAGAAACGCACCTGGGGAGGAGAGGGAAGAGGCACAAACCTACTTTTGCTTCACAGAGCCCCTCAGGTGCCTTGTCATGTACCATCATTTTGAAGACTCTGTAAGGAAGTGCTGCAGAGGAGGCACATAATTCCAGGGAGCTATTTTTAGCAAGAGAGAAAACAATGTTACGTGATTGCACATTTCTTTTGCTTCCCCTTTTTTGTTTGTTTTGCTTGTGACATGCTCTCAGTGAGAAATTGCTGAAATTGTTTTGTGAATTAGCATCTTCATCTCCTTCGTAAGTTGTGGCTACTGTAAATTGATGGGTTGTGTATTTTACGTAGTATTTATTTAGGGTCAGTAGGTCTCTGACACATTGTGTCAGAACGCAGGGATTGAATGTGCACTCAGAACTGCGCTATTCCTGTTAGCTAAGCATAGGTGAAGGAAACAGGTACTGAATGTGCACGAGTGAGATGAAATTTGCTTTGAAAGTAAACGTCCAAATAACCTTTCCAGAATTTGGTCTTACGAAACTGTAGAAGATGCCCGTTGCCATAGTAGAAAATACCTACAGTGTGGCAATGGAACATCACTGGTTGTTTTCCTGAGTAAATCAAACTGCTTAGAGAATGCCTATTTTTTGAAAAATGGTAACACTATTGTGTTTTAAGGAAACAAACTAATTTCATCTGAATTTAAGGTCTTGCTTTTCTTGCTCCCTGCTGAAGATGGCTCCCAAGCTATTGGCAGATGATGGCAGAATATTTGCTAGCTACTTCTGTGCAATGCACTTCTGGTGCTAAGCTTTGTCTGAGGAGCAGTTGCCTGTTCCTCTGTTAGCTGGTGAAGGAAGTGGAAGTCATCTGTGGTGGGGAAGTCTGGAATAAGCTGATTTTTCTTTTGGAACAATATGGAAGCTCAGAGGTTCCTTATCTCTAGCAACCCATAACAGTGGTATTTACTCTCAGTGAGTCAAGTCCTTCCACTGTCATCTTTTAATGCAAAATAACTTAAGGTGCTTCCCTAATTATAGCTCCTTTTCCTGTCCTTAAAAGGAAAGCACCGACAGCTGTCTAACATGTAATAAAACTACTACAAGCTTCCAGAGGACAGTCCATTCTGGGTTTCTGTTGCTCAGTGATATTAGTCCTGTTTATCAGCAGGCAACATGACTGTCATGTTTTGCTCAGCCTCGCATAATTTCCTTTAATGCAGTGAACATAATAGTCACCTTTGGTGGAACTGTGTTTGCACCTCCAGCGTTTTCCTGGCAAGTTCTGAAATACTACATCTCAGATATAAGAAAATGAGAAATATAAGAAGTGCTGTATTTCTTAATGGTAGGAATGGAAGGGAGAAAAAGAGGAGGGGAGAGAGAGACCATCATCTGTGCAAGTTAGTTAGAAGTTGATTCAGATTTTAGGTTGTCTGAAGTTGATGGATTCTTACTAAATGTTTAAGGAATGTATTTCTTTGAGAGTGCGGTGTTCTACTTGTGTTATACAATGGGGTTCTTTTGTTACTGATCCTGCCTCCATCCTTTGTGCAGTTAGGCACTGGGAATAAGGCTTATTAATGAACTGTACGCTTGCGTGGCAATGTGCTGAATGTGGTGATTATAGGGGTCTACTGCTGAAAAGTTGTTATTGGTTTTATTATGGATCTTGTCCTGTATGACTCATGTGATGTTAAAACTTCAATTATGTGGCAGAAGCACATGTACTTAATAAATTAAGGTCACTCATTTTTGGCTACAATCTCTCTATATGAATATGTATTTGTATATATATTACACATAAGATAGATAATTAAAGACAAATATAGTGTACACAGATATTAACGACCACACTGTTTGCTGCTCAGAGACCTAGAATTAACTGTAAGGGGGGTGCGTGTGTGACAATTTTCCAAGCCACTCAGTGATGTGCCTGTGCTCTTGTGCCTGTACACAGGCAGCAAATAGGCACTTTGCCTCCTGGTAGCAGCCTGAAGCGCTGGCTACTCCCCTCACTGGCTGCCTGACAGTCCCACTAGTATAAAAAGGCCCCTTGGGGCAGGCTGTGCTGCGTGTAGCTGATACAGCAGCAGAGAGGGCTTGTGCTGGGGACTGCAACCACAAAACCTGCTGGGTTGTAGCCACCAACAGGTCTAAGCTGCACAAAATGCGTGAAATTGTGCATCTTCAGATTGGCCAGTGTGGGAACCAAATTGGATCTAAGGTAAGGTCTCTTTTCAGTATTGGGCATTAGCAGTAAGGGCTCCCAGTGGTAGCAGGTCAAATGTCGTTAAGGGATGGGGACTTTCAGGGGGAACAATTTGCTAACTCAGTGGTAGGATATATGGCATATTAGCAGTGAGTATGAATATTTTTGATACGAAAGTCCTAAGATGGACATGCTCCTCATGGAAAGGTTAATGTTAAAACTGTCAAAGAATGAAATATCTCCAGTTACTATGTCATGGTGATTATAAGTGCTCCA